AATATGTTCACTGTATATCAGGGGTGCCCAAAGTGCGGCCCGCGGGCCGCATCCAGCACACAAAGTGCCTTAGAGAACATCCACTTTGGGCACCCCTGCTGTATATCGATATCTGATAGTGGGAGACGTTTGTTATAGATAGTTTTGGCTAGAAACGAACATTGAATCATTTGCTTCTTAATAAATGTTTACTTCACTCATAGATCATCATATTCCCCATCAATTCCAATGTCATGGAAAAAATTGACCCAAAGCACACCAGATTATTACACAATAAAGTTTTTATGAATAGAAATAATGTTGTTGTGCAATAACCTCGTCCCCTCTATCCATCCATCAACCTTTTTTGCAATATTGACGATACATCATTTCCGTGCATAAGAACACCCTGGAACCAAGTAACTTTAGAAGATTTTACATCGGTCGAACTGACAGTCTAGCCTATGTACAATATAACATGGATTTAAAATAAATCGCCTATAAATTCTAATAAGCCTCATTGGAAGCCATGTGATACTTATCAGTAGGCCTCCTTGAAACGATATGGATCTCTTTTGGTCCTGTCCAGCCAGTCTGTCTCTTAATGCTCTTTGTCCATGATTAGTTTGCTATCCATTGCAGCAATTGGATGCATTTAGAGTATATAAGTCATAACGTAATGGAGATGCAATGATTTCACTTATTTACCGCTACTTTCTTCTGCCGGTTTCTGTAATACGGCTGTAACATAATCTGATGGATATTTTTGCTGGGAAGGCTGGTAGTAGAGGAATTCAGTAAGACAGGTGGGCCGACGCCGAGTGGCATTCATATTCTCACGTAATTTTTGTTCCGCTTTGTCCATCCTTTGGGCGTCGACACCGGCACCGTTGCCATAGGCGAATAGGTGAATAATATTAAAACATTTGCATGGATAACTAATATTAATCAATGGTCTACAGGACTTTTGAAGCCGTCATGTTTATAATAATAATAATAATAATTAAAGTCCTTTTAGAGAAGTTCACGGCCGTGAACATTGCTGGATGGGATCCATCAGGCTGAAGGTCGCATAGTGTGGAAGGTCAGACAGGTGCCTGACATTGCCATCTCACTCAGTGCACATGGGCCCAAAAAAGAAAGGAGTGAATACCACTGGAAAATTCAAGACATTTTGTCGAGATAGGTGAAGAAAACCAGGATTGCTTTAAATATATTTCTCACATCCAAGACCAAGTGAAACGGGAAGCGCCTCCACTGAAAGTGAATCTGAGGACTCCATGGCATCCTAGGCCAGAAAAATCAGTATGTCCCCAAGCACTTCTCAACTGGAAGAGTCTAGTGTACAGGACTCAGGCATAATATACAGCCTTCTTGAGATAGAGTGAAAACACGTCGAATTCATTGGAACTGAAGACGTTGACTGAAAGGAAGGGTGAGCTGGAGATACGAGCGGAAGGACTGGAAAAGAACAAGAAGTAAGAGTGATCAAAGAAGGGCAGAAACATCTCTCCAAGAAGGTGAAGGATTCAGAAGATACGGTGAAACGGCAGGATCGGGAGATTGAGAATCTTCTGGAGGTGAAGGGGTTAGAGGAGAAGTACTAGAAATAGATACGAGATGCATTTGGAATTGCACCAAAGGAAGGAGAATCTCATTTTTATGTGGTGGAAGAGCAGCAACAAGAGAACTGCGAAGACGTGCTAAGAAACTCCACTAGGGGGATATGAAACTAAACGCTATGTAGGTGGCTTTCTCGACAGTCCATCGTCTTCCTCCGTCTAGGTCTCAAGGCCGAACAGACCAGACGAGTCATGCACCTCGAGGCTTGAAAGTCACATTTTTGTACATGGAAGAACGGGACGTAGTTTTAAGGAACAGTGGCACCCTGAGGGGAACCAGGAAGCTCGTCGTACAAGATCTACGTGTCGCCATGAAAGGAATTTTGGGAAAACGGAGGCAAATACAGAGTCCGGGTTGATGGGACTCGCTTGATGCTACAAGAATACAGTGAGCTATACAACATCTGGAGAGAAGGAAGTGAAGGATCATGTGAAGAATTATTGAGACATAGATTTTGGTTCTGGTAGATACTTGAAATTCTTAACCCTTAAGCGTCGGTTGACGCAGATACACGTCAGCCTATGTTAGCGCGGTTGACGTATATTTACGCGAGTTTGATTAAATCCATCGCGGAGAGCTTTCCCCGAAATTTTATATTGAGGTTTCTGGCACCTCTTGCATTTATATATAGTATTAATTCCGATAACTCTTTTGCAAATCCAGGGGGGGTCGATTTAGCCTCCTGTGGGGATCGCTTAGCGCCACCTCCCCCGGCGTCAAAGGGGTAAAGGAGCTTTCTCCACCAGATATTCCTTGAAGTCCGTAATTATCTATCTCATTTCCAATTTGTAAGGAATTATGCGCATTTACTTCAGTTTCAACGTTTTAAGTAAATAACCGGTGATACCTATCCATCTCTTGGAGATTCATATACGTACCATGAGTTTAAATATTATGAGATATAAAATGTGTTCAATCAGGAAACAGGAAAATATACTCTGTGCGCCAACAAAATAGGAACATATAAGCTATGCTACGGCCACCAAACGTTGGTCATTTATTGGAGGCATTGAGATATGCAAATGATGAATCACTCTTTGATACTTGTCATCCTAGTAGCGTGATACAATCATGTGACCGCAGCACGGTTTCATACGTTTCAATGGAGAACAAGAGATTGGGCCGAACCCACCCTTGAGTATCTTTTTTGAAGCGTGGCAATAGGTGACCTCACAAGTTTTCGCTCATGGGAAACGATTGTCGCACTTGTGTCATAAAATACCCTGTACCAATATAAAGGGAAAATGATCCAAGGAGTTTGACGACATTGGTAAGCGTGTGAGCATCGGAAACGGAAGCTCCAAATGCATTAGTTTTTTTCTTAGTGGAGGGCCATATTAATATTAAAAAACGCATAATGTAACCCATATTCCATCGACGCAGGGTGTTGCATGCCTTCGGATATCCTGAAAATATCTATTCCTTTATCGTGATTAAAAGAGCAAACACGTTTCACGTTCCGTAGCAAAGACCAAATGGATAGGCAGCAAGAGTAGTTTACTTAATCTATATGAGGAGTACTTCGGAGTCCACGGCCATATTTACCATGTGATTCCCATATCACCTTCCTAGTGGTTCGGACGATATGACCCGACGCAGCTGGCACTATTGTGCCTAATTGTGGGAATCGACTGCATGCCACTTCAAACTTACGCACAACCAAGAATGGATGTGGAGTAGAACATACGCAAATTACGATATGTGAATCTATTAGGATGGAAATACATTAAACATAAGCAATTAACTTACATGTTATTGTTCGAAAGGAATCGTATGTATTTTCCATGTCCTACAAACGAATACGATGCTTTCTTGATTCTTGGGGCAGACTTTGGGTGAAAATGAGTTTGGGTACAGGGATAATATGACCAATTCTGTATCTGTGTTTTGTCTCTCCAAAACAGAAAGGAAAACAGCGAAAAGTCCTGCATGCTTCGCCTAGTATTTACTGCAGGAATATTTATTGCCCCAGAGATCCAACCAGTGCATAGCAATGACACGGAGGATAAACAGCTACCTCAGCCTTTATCTTATCGACAACCGTCAACCTGTACTGGAGAGCCATCGCAAAGCATCGTGCTTATGAAACTTAATGGTTTCTTTACCCTCCCTTGAGAGTCACGAGAGGAATGCGAACAGATATCGCACAAGAGCTTTTCAGTAGGTCTGAGACCCCCTTAGAGACTGGGATGGAATCCAAACACAGAAGGGTAGTTGATGCAAATGAGACCCATTGCGAATGGTTTGCACATCAGAGGGCCTAGAAATTTGGTAATTTTCAGTGTCATATGTCTATACTTAACGATGAAAAGTGCTAATGAACCCTTCTTTATTTAAAATAACAATTGTCTCTTGAACCAAAGCTTGAAAATTCTATTCATGCTGGTAACATTTATGAAGAACATATCTGCCCGATTGTCCAATTCATTGTGGTGCTCAAATACAATGATAATGTGCTTAATTTGGAGATTGGAGAAATGAGGGGAGAAAATGATCCTGAGAAAATGGATTCCGAATTTCATTGTGGATTGGTTGATCCTTGGAATAATTCAGTTTTTTTTTATAGGAACGTAATTATATTTTAAACTGAAGGTGTGACTGCGACACAACGTATATACTAGTATATGTCGCTAAAATTCTTTCAGCGGCCGTTAATTTATTTATTTTACCCTCGTCTGAAGTAATTTGGGAGAATATGGCCATAAAACGTGAAACCTGGTTTTTACGACCCTCAAGGTCAGATTTAACTACGCCAATATAAATTTCGAAAACATCACTTACTGACTTTTTATTTTATCATAGCAATGCAATTACAAAAATGCATGAGAAATGAATATTCAGCATCATTCTAAACTGTTGTAAATAGGCCTTCTAGACCTTCTAGACTTTGACCAGATTTCTTTCGATTTCGCGGAACGTGACGCAGGAATGCCTCTGTTTTGCATCAGTTATTTTCTTGGTATGAGCATATCATCCGGATCTTCATGTAGCCCGTACATGTGGGTATATTAATTTCACAGTAGCTGACATAGCATCTAGCAAAATTTTATGTGGGTGGGTACGAAACCTTCGAAACACCCTGTAGTTGGTGAACGAATGCGACAAAATCACGGTGGAAATTGTCTGAGTTAGGTGGCGCAACCATTTACCGTCATCAGTGGTCTCTCTGCCGATGTCTGGTCCTTCTGGCAACTGATGAACTTTTGACAGACTCAAACTCATTCGGTCAACACGTTTTTAACAGAGGTGAGAATCCGGAGCATCCTCAGAGCGTTTCTGGAATTGATTTAATAACCCGAAGACAATTATCGCTACAGGTAAAAATGATACGAGAAATGCCTTGAAATTATTATCCCTATCAGGGAAGTGTGAAACAAGTTTCGCCCTTTCCAGTTGCGAGGTACATTCAGATACGGAGAGGGGGACTTCAATGTAACTTTATGGAAATCGAATATCTTATTGACGTCCCTGTCTTAGACGTATCCTTTCAAAAGGTCTTAGTTGAAAAAGAGTATCGTGAGTCTCACCGCTTGTGATGTGGGGTGCTCATTCACGTCCAAACGATTCTGCTGGTAGGAGAAGGAAGAGTAGTCATGGGGTACGAAATGTCTTTCTTGCCAGTGGTCCATGATGCGTGATCCTCTCACACCTTGTTTCACCTGGAGCAACCTGCGACAGTGCGTAACTACTGTTGATATTAATGAATGAAAGCATGTGACTCTGTATTCAATATTACTACGATTTTCAGACTTAATCGTCACTAATGCAGAAGTCTTCAAAATGTTAGAACATGAATCACGATAACACAACGAGAGAGGATGGAATTTGTTGCAGGATGAAAATGTTCCCCAAATCATAAGTGCCAAGATGCTTCCATGCTTGATCTACCATTAAGTCCAGATTATGTTAAGACACGGATCACCTTTTAGCGCCGAAATCTGTTTCCCAGGAAGCACAGGTGTTGGACCCAAACTGTCTGAACGTATGTCTAAAGTGCGACGCCTCTCGGGGAGGGACTGGGCAATTGTCTTTAACAATGGTCCACTTTCATTTTTCTTATCAGATCCCATCGAGGCCGATGCACCCGCTCATGCGTCCCAGTCTATTTTCCTCTCGACCGAGAGATAATCTCAAAAGTATTTTAAAAGTAGATATCGGTATCTCAATGACAAAAGGAGTACTGATATTTAACTTCCATATTTTTCATTTCACAGTAACAATTCTTCGAAATACTCCTATTTTCTCTTAAGTATAACCTTGCACCTTGGTAATGTACCTCAAAAGTAAGAATATCCTGTAATTCACTTCTCCTTAGAGTACATACGAGGTGCACCCAATTTCATCCATATATGTCTGGGGAAACCTTAGTTAATCGATGGAAAATCGCCTCAAATGAGGATAATTCACAGGAATGCGAGCGGACGCTCATGCACGGCCGATCCTCGGCACTCAGCTGCGCTGCCTCTTGAGAAATCTCGTTATCTCGGATGGATGCATTCGCCTTTATCGTGCTACGTACTGTCTTTTACCTTATTGCTCACGGAAGTCCATGAGTTGATTCGTCGTCATGCATGATGATGCGAGAATTGGAGAGCCGATGGCCTTCGGTAAGTTTTCCTGTTTGAGTGCTTCTTCGTGGACTCAAAAATATTCAAAATTGCATATTTAGGCAACGACATCATTTACTAGCGTGTTTGTTTGCTCTTCGGAGAAAACAACTCACACGAGTCTCCCCTTCGGCGCCATATGGCGTAAAGAAGCAGAAGAATTATTTAGGTTAAGATATTAAATTAATTATATCGTTTGAACCAAGGGCTTGGGCGCTCACACAATGTGCAGTGGTACTCTAAAGCGGCTTCTAAACCTTAAGTTGTATTTTAGTGAATGGTCGACCCTTGCCAGTCCGGGAGACTCGCCCCCCCCCCCCCCAAAGGAAAACTACACTCTTCACCATTTTGCCACCGATGACGCCTCCGAGGGCGTGTCCTTTTCGAATTTTTGCAAACGTCTCTCTGTTTCTGGCGAAGTGGCGGTCCACATTAACGCAATTTCATGGTGATGCGACGATCGGCACCGAGGGATATTTTCTGCCACCGTCACCATCTGGGGTCGGGTTCCTCGAATTTCATGCTTAATGGAATGGGGTTCTGCAGACGAAAATTTTGGAGGAGAGAACGGGAAAAGGGTGGACTCGACTCCACCGTGTCACTCGTGAGTTTATGGCATTGCAATCCCGCAGAGGACAGTCTTATTTGGCCACGACGATGATTTTAGCACTTGGCAAGCAGTCGAAGGCTCGTGTCTTTCACTCCTTGAGGGAAGGGCACGGAGGCACGACTCTGACCGGCGAATTTCCTTGAGGAAGGGAGTGAACTCTGAGAGTTCACTCCCTTCCCCAAGCAACGCCAAGATTAGACTTATCATTGGCAAGCAATTTCCGCCAAGGAATAGTGAGAAATAAGATAAAATCCGCGAAATTATATTAGATGAGAAAATTGCAGCCACTTTTATGTGCAAGAGCCATTCAAGTGCATTTACTTCCTCGTTCAAAAAAGTTCCAATCTGGATCGATGTTTCTGGTCGTCGGGATCGAAGGTGACAGACCTCCAAAGAGCTTTCTCTGTCTTACCAAAACCCCCTTCTTTTAGGTTTATGTTAATACAATGTTAACTTGTCGCCCTCTTCCCATGAATGACAGACTGAACACACCCTCACCGTGCCGGCTTAACCGCATGTCCACGTGCCTTTCATCATGCAATCATCTTCCTGCAGGTGAGGCCTTGCAAGTGCAAAGTCTTCGCACAGACAGGTTTTCAGCGCTTAAACTTCGAAAAATCATTGTGCTTGTGGCATGGTATATTTCCTTAAATTGGGAAACATCTGGATGCATCCTAATAAGAGTAATCTATGGATGGATAGTAACGCATTGCCTTTAAGTCAAGAATTCTATGAACGGATATCGGAAATCTTTCCCACTCGCGAGATGGAATGCGCACAGTATTTCCTTCCAAATTGATCGAGTTTTTGCGAATATCACCATTTCCAGTGGAAATGTGAACATTCAAATTTTCATTTTTCCCGTTCCAATCTATAATTAATATTTTTTAAGCCGGAGGTAGCCCTTCATGTTGACTCTACACGTCATACTAGCAAAAAAGAACTGTACCTTTTCAGGTGTAACAATATTTAAAAAATGAAGTAATATACTGCCAAAGTAACTATTGTTATTCATACCGTTTCAAAAGAGTAATCTCCCATCTCTAGGCATATCGTGTGCAGAAATATACTTGTACGATATAAGGTAGAAAGCAGAAAACAAAGTTACAGCAGTAGAAATTTCATATTTTTGGTCTCTGACGACGTTCGCGCAGACACCGCTAGATGTCTCTCTCCGATTGACCTAGTGGCTTCCCACATGCGCACAGTGATGAAGGGGCGATCGACGCCTGTGGAATCCATCTGCCAAATTCCTCATTTGAAGCTTACGTTTCTGTATTAAATATCTCTGCGAGAGAAAGTCAAGATTAAGATTTTGAGTGCTAGGATGGAAAAATCGTCCAACTTATCATCACTCCGCCAAGTCACTTGTGAATGAAAATCCACGCCTTTGTTTTACACTTATCTGTTAATTTTTACAATCCAGTAACATTCGTAAATTGGAGGCGCTCGGAGCAATAGGCACCACCCTATCGGGAGGTGCTAACCGATCGCCGAAGATCTCAATGATGTGCATGTAGATGTTGATGTAGACTGTCAGCACTTTGGAAATTGGAGAGCTGAAAGATCCAGGCGAGCCACCGTTCCAGTCCATTCGAGTCTTTCCAAGCGTTCCTGGTGTTGACTCTAGATGTCTGGTGGCGAAGCACGGAGGCTCCTCATGCTCGCATGCTCGTTGAAGTGAGAGGTGTATACGTGAGGGCACCCCCGTCTTCATCCCTGCCTGGATCCTCCATGGCCGTATTTCGTGCCTTGGCCATAAGGGTCTTGAGGCGCAGAAGTCGGAGTGAGGACGGAGAAAAAGGTTCCACTTCACAACAACAGCCAAGTTCCCCGTGAACGAGAAGTGACGAAACGATTATTTTTCAGATCTGCTAAAAGTCCCTTTGATTAGTCGGATGGAAACGCCCAAGATTGAGCAATCTCTATCTCGAGTGGAAGAATGGTATGGCGGTTGCTAATTTACTGAGTGAGTTGAAGTTAATTATTCTGTTAGTTACCGAGACATCGGGAATGCTCGTTCAACATTTATGACCCCGTGCATATGCCTCAGCCAGTTGGCATCGATGAACGTTCGTGGTATCTAAATCTTCTTGGCATCAAAACCGCCCATGAACTGAATCGAGCCCCCACCCCCCGGGGTCATCGAGGCAGCGGGGAGATCGTGCTCATTCCTGGGATTCTTGGCCATCCGCCCAAATTCAAGTGACTGCGCACAGCGAATAATTTTTATCTGCCATTGTTACATATCATAGTACAGGGTGACCCAGGGAGGGGGGGGAGGGTGGCCCCATCCTGTTGAAACCAAAATCTGTCCATTAAAGATGGATACAGGGATTCCAGCTCGTCCCAGAACTTTTCAGGTATCGCCACGTATCGCTCTTTGGTGATGGTCACTGTGTTTCTTCCTTCTTCAAAGAAGAAAGGTCCAATTAATCGTCTCTTGGAAATTGCCACCCAAACTGCATTTCTCCGAATGTAATGGTTTCTGTGCAACCTCTAGAGGGTTCTTAGTTCCCCAGTACACATTATTCTTCGAATTAACCTCACCATGGAGGTGAGAGTGGGCTTCATCACTCATTCAAAGATTTCCGAGAAATGTGGGTTCAGATTCAATTTTCTCTAGCAATTTCTCAGCCATGGCGTTCCTTTTGACTTTATTTGCAGCTGAGAGTGTTTGTTTAGTCTGCATTCTGTAGGGATACAATTTAATATCATCAAACAAGACGCTCAATGTTTCACGATGGATATTGAGCGATTGCCTTCGTTTTCTGATTGGGAATTTTGGGCTCATTGCAACAGATTCTCAGACTACCTCTATGACCTCTGCCGTTCGCTTCTTCCTGAGGGAGTTGGCGGTCATCTGATGGTGCATTGAGGTTAGCAACAGTCCCATAAGTCCTAAACCCACGCTAAACCCACGCATTGATCACGGGTTTATTGGGCTCTTTGTCGGTTTCGTACTCCGTACGAAACAACTCTTGGACCTTCACGTACGAGCCATGTCTCAACTAATTTTCCACACAGAAGATCCTTTGTTGTAGACTCAAATTTGTTTTTGTTTTTCTTTTGTACTCTGGGGGGTTTCATCTGCCATCACCTGAAATATATTGAGAGGGTTAAACGGTTAGAATTACATAGGGTGCCCAAAAAAACGAGCTCGGTATGTTTTTTTTTTGGGTCACCCTGTACCCCTTTGGAATGCAGATCCTGGCAGATCCCGGTTCCCGTTCGGGCGCGTTCTTCCCCGCCTTATTTGTCTCCATCTCTATCCGAGCCTGTTTCTAGGAATTAAATGCTTTATTCAACGGGACTCTCGAGATTAGAATTTTGAGGGGAGGATTGAAGGAAGATTCGATTCGGCATGACTCCACAACGCCTCTCACGAATGACAACTCACTCCTCCGAAACAGGCTTCCTGGGACACGTATTCCAATTAGGTATATGAAATATTGAGAGCGCTCGATGTCCAGTGCACACCGTTCGGGATGCACACCGAGTGTCAAGGATTATTATCTGCTGTTATTTGCAGCTTTTTTGGTATTAAATCACATCCGCGACACTATAGTATATACCTCTCCTTTCCGCATAGATTCAAATTCATCAGTTCATGGTTTTAGAGGGTAAATGTGGCAGGCATCTATGGAGGTTTTTCACGAAGGTGACTGTTTCTCCGAGCCACTGGGATAAATGGCCCTCAGCACGACATCGTGCGTGGCGTCTCTCCAAAACACGACCGTTCCTTCACGCATCAAAACCATTCAGGAGTTAGAACTGAAAAATAATTTTTAAAATATTGCGGAATTGAAAGGCCTCAAAAGCCACCAATGCCACCAGCTGCGAACGAGAAATTCGATTCCGTGCTTCAATTGCACGTGCAGCCTCCCACGAATGAAACGGAGCGGAAAGAATCGCACCGCGACCACCTGCCGTCGATGCCGACCGACCGATCACAACAGACTCTCGCTGGGTCCAATCGCACGCGCTGTCCCCCATACCGTCAAGGAATTTCTCTTTTCCCGGCTCGATAGACGGGGTCTAACGAGGATGGGGCCAGTTGGAACCGTCAGGTACGTAATAAATCTGTGCCCAAGCACCCATAACTCTTTGTCCCTGGGAAAAAAATATAACATGAACATATATAAGAAATTGAGTCCCTTACGACTACGAAACCGTTTCATGAGGAAGTTCCGCAAAGCTCCAGTAGGTGTCTCTCTCCTATTCACAGAGGGACATTTTGCATTAGCGCAAAGCTAATGGGACTATTGGCGCTGGAAGAACGTATCTGTCTCTATTTCCATTTGAAGCCTGTCTTCTGGAATTCAATTTCTACGTGAGGGGACTCTCGAGATGAGAATCACGAGGAGACGATGAGAAAAAACATTGCACTCCATCTCAGTAAACGGTGCCACTCGTGAATGAATGAATGGTATGATTCAAATGACTAGAACCAGTGGGGGTAAGAAAAGTCCATTTTCTCCATTTCTTGTGGTGGTCGACGTTGTATCGATCTCCGATGGTTTTCACAATTATTCTTTGGGCCTATTAAGGCTTCATCTGGCATCGACGGGAAGATTCGTGCTGAATCTCCCCAGGGATGAAACCGGGTTGTTGTTAAGGGACGGGATGGGGGCTGGGTGGAACGCATCGGTTGCGCTTTCGGGTTTCCCGAATGTCAGCTAGAATTTTACTTATTTTTATGGCACATATCACATTGTAGCAATCTTGAAGTCTTTAGATGGATCGGGTGGACTGTCCCGGGAAATGACGCACAAAC